ATTTTCACCGCCCTAGATTGGGCACACAGAATGCACACAGTTTACAATCGGGATTTGAACGCAGACTCTCTTATATAATGTTTCCTAAATTAAATTTCCTTTGGGAATAAGACTTAACACAGAATACAAAACGATAATGCCAAAAGGTTAGTTAAAGAATAAGCAGCATATGTAATATAACAGTTGTCTCAAAAGAAAGTTTACATTTATGCTTTATTTACGCTAGTGCCTTAAATGTGCATAGATCTTCATTAGACAAATTTTAAGCAAAGATCTAAAGCTTTAAGAATTAAAGCCCCAAGATGCCAGTTAGAGGCTTGACTTCGTAAATCAGGTAAGCAAGCATCAGAGACCCTTTCATTCGCCTATAGTGACTGTATGGGCTGCGATGTCAGCGCGAGGAATTGGCCCTTACTTTTTAATTTTATTGTTCGATTCGATTGAAAAGAGTGCCGCAAACGCAAGCATTTGGACGGTATTATTTTTAAGAACTAAATTCCCAAAATGTGTATTTTAATAATAAACAAACACTTTTTTGATACACGACTTACAATTTTTTAAATCGATCAACTAAATATGAACTTTCTTACTTATTTTTATTTTATAAGGCACACTAACAATATAGACGCAGACAGAGAATATTTCATTTAAAAAGACACAGAGTATGACAAAATCAGAAAAAAAACGAATGACAAAATTAAAATATTTTTATGATTAAAACAAACATTTAACGATCCCGAAATAATGGTGGCAGGATCCTACAGTAGAATACTTGGAAACAATCGGAAAAGGATCAGCCACATACAACCTCAAAGCAACGTTAATAACAGATATATTTAAAGGAGGTTTCGAACCAACGTTAGTTCTCAGAAAATAAAATAGTTTAGAATATTTTTAAGCGGTTTAAACATATTTAGTGAAATGGCAGTTTATTCGTTCAATTCTGTCTATACACAGGTTTCCAGATGTTTCTAGATTTCAGAATACTACGGGCCAAGGAATTAATAATAATTCAATATAATTATCATATAAAAAATAATTGAAATAAAATTTTTGATTTTGCGTTTTTGTTACATTGAGTCTTAGGAAACCTTATATACTAGACGCTTTATTAAGTATACTTAGTTAAATAGCGGCAAAAAATTTAATAAAGTCTATTTTGTAATTACAAATTTAATATATTTGTCACAATTGAAGCGCTTTAGCCAAACAGCCTGCAGTTATTTCATGTATTGAAATCAATTTTCCAATACTCCGATTTGCTCATTTTATGCACACGATTTTGAAGTTTCCAATTTGTCGGGTAGTAATCGTATCGTATTAGATCATACAGTTGGATGCATATATTATTAAATAAAATATATACACATATAAAACAATACTTATGACGCTATAATATATAATACTAAACTAAAACTCAATATATTATTTTTATGTAAAACAGTTTTTTTTTAATTTTTCGTTACACGCCCATTTATAGGACTTTATTCATTACCTGCGTGATTGTATCTTTAATACTGTTATAAAAAAGCGTAAAATATTTCCTAGGAGGCCAGAAAACCTAACCTAATACAGATTAGGTTAAAAGCTAACTATCCATAAACCAATATTACTTTCATGAGATCCAATGTTACGAAGTAATTGTATATTTTGACAACACACAAAACTACCTTAGGTTTCTTTATCAAAGGTATTTAAACATTAAAAAGAAAGTGAAATGATGGCTTTGTTAAATTGCCTTCGTAATTAAGGCTAAATAAAGTAAGTAAAGTTCACGATCATTGGTTTTTACCTACACGCAAAAGGGTGATAACTACCTGCCTGTCGACACGTCGTCGACTCTTTTGGGTATAAGGCATGCCGGTTTACCAAGCGACTGTTTAATGCACATATAGACACAGTTCATTCGCACAGCCGGGGATCAAACCTACGACGTGATATTATATTATTATACTAGCGGACCCGACAGACGTTGTCCTGCAATACGAACGAAAAATTTCGGACGGCTCAGGCTGGGAATCGAACCCAAATCATTTGGTAACGTGACTAGAACTCTACCAGGTAAGCTATCCGAGACTCGTACGTAAAAAAACAGCTGTTTAGTTGCAGCGCCATCTGCCGGGCTGATTTGTGAGTCTAAACCATCCAGGGAATTCGGAATTCTCGTTTAAGAGGAGTTCAGTGACATACACACGAACAGTAGAATTATATATATAAAGATAGTGCACAAGTGCCTAAAGAGCCTATATTATGGACATTAGAACGACTATTAAGAATCTGATATGGATGTTAATTGCGTTAGTTATAAGATGATGGGAAATTTAGGGTTGCAATTAAATCGAATGAAGAAATATTTGGAGGCTTTTGCCACTTGGAGTTTGAGGAGCTGGTTCTAGGTATAATATTGCAAATACTCTATTATACGAATAAATAATTATTATCATCATATTAACCGTAAATATCGATTCGATTAGAATCGTAAGACATCGATACAAATCGTATTATCTAAATGGTCACAAATATTGACATTTAAACTACATATTTGTAATCACACACGTTCAAAGGGTTTTATTAAAACGCTTCCAATATGTCCAGTTCAAAGTTATAAATGTCATTTCCGGAAGTCCATTTATTGAAACAAATGAAGCGAAAATTTTATTTCACGATATTAAAGCTTAATTTGACTCTTGTGTATATATGTTTAAATGAAAACGCAATATTTGAAATTGCGTCACGATAATACATTTTGGATGGCACTTCATGTTTGCTAGATTAAAAGATTTTTTATTTCATACGAAACCAACGATTTATTTGTAGGCGACACGACAGTTAATCGTTTTTTAACGGGCAACTCGGGCGTCCCCCAAAAAGTGCAGTCATCGCAGCCTATGGATATAATAAATTAAAACAATATTAAGAAATCGTTTTTTTTTGAGCAGTGTTAGCTTGGCTTGGGAGTAGGACTCTTAAGACTGAGTTTATATCCCGCATGAGGCTACCGTGACGATAAACATTATGAGAAAACTGGCATGTCTTTTCTGGAGATTATTGACCCCCCCCCTCCCGCGTAGCGCGCCGTAACGTTTTTCTGTACCAATAGTGATTAAAAATAAGTACTGGAAAGTCAAAAATAATATTAACAATAACGCGTAATTCAATCCTCGATTGTTATCATATATGCTATATCGATATATATTCCGCCTTCGTGGTCTTGCGTGGTAGGCTTCGTCGGTCAAGTTTAATTCCTAGCAAAACAATAATTGTTCCAGGTTGCACACGCGCAACACAACACACATTAACAAAAACTTAAAATCTATTCAGTTTTATTCAACTAAATTGAACTACACAGTTATTGTTTAACTACGTTATTGTAATGAGGATGTCACACGCTGATATTTTAAAGCTATTGTTTACGCATAAGTACTTATAGTTACGAACTATTCCATAGTTTTTATATCTATTTGGCGTACTATGTATAAATAATAGATCTTTCAATACCATCTAGCCTAAGAATATAGCCTTCGAACGGCCTTTTTTCATACAGAACTGGACTGACATTTGACCACAATCCCACCTGATGTTAATGTGTCCACGATATGCCCATATTAAACTGTCTAGGGAAGATGGAAGGTTGCAAGGAGCTACACTCCTTTGCTGTTTTTTTTAATCGTGCAGTGCGGGTCTGGGTATGTCAACAACGAAGGGGTGAAACTTCAGCGTGCTTCTAATGTTGTTTGTCATTTTCATTATGATAAAAACCATTAAAAAATATATATATTTATGTTTATTATGGAAGATAAGATACATGTATCACTTATTCCACGTCATTAAATTTGAATTTGTCGGCATCCCTACTCATCGACGAAGAAGACAGAGGGTGTAGGTCGAGAGAAAAAGCCGGCGTAAAAAACTCTCGGTACTCTTTTAAAATAGCAAATCATTAACAGACTCCCAACTTAAAGTGACGAGGGGAGTGTGGGGTCGGTACGGGAGATGCAATGCAAACGGCCCTATATGCTCTGGACGGTAGACAGGTGAACGATTTCCCTAAATTCGTGCCTCCGTCATAGCATACTCGCCTCCAGTCTTAACTTCGGAATGGAAATCTATTTCATTTATATTGTAGAAATTACGTTTAAATTGTTTTTCGTGGATAATGACGCATTGTAACGGAGAAAGATTTTCGGTGCGTAAAGAAAGAGTTTAAAAAAATTGAAATTGTAATTAAAAAAAGTAAAATATTAACTTATGGAACTAACTATTAAGTTATTGAAGAGCTGGGAACCCAGGTATTTTTTAATTACAATCTTACACATTAAAATGCATTGTTATCATGAATAAACACATTTCAATTCAGGTCCGGTAATATTTCGTTATAAAAATACATACATTTCCTCTTTATAATATCAGTACTAATAATAGCCTGTCTCGATCCAGTCCAATTACTTATTTAAAAGAGTGACGAATTGTTTCTTGCCAGTTCTTCTTGTCCGTTCCACGCCCTTTGAGAACTGGAATTTAAATTTAGAATCATTTTTTTACAGACTGTCATAAGCGATTTTAATTTATTGTAGATGAATTGACGAGTATATTTTTCAAACAACACACATATTATAAATTAATTATTATAAACTTTGTGACACAATACTAAACAAACGTAGCAATGTAAATCTTAAATATAACGACCACAAGAGAAAATCTTTTGCTAAAATGAAAATAATAAATCCAATAAAAAAAATTTCTAACAACCTATTTTTCAGCGGGAAATGTTTTATAAATACACTACCAAGCAACACCTTAAACCTTTATCCCTGAGAACTTATTAGCTTACCTGTGTTAGAAATTATACAATAACACGTCTTGAACGGAAGGATTTTGGCCCACGCTTCCTTAGAACCTGTGAAAGTCTGCCCCTCTACCAAGGGTGGGCTTTATAAAAGCGATAGCTAGCATTCGATCGCTTGAGAAGTCTCATAGTCGGCAAGACAGTCCCCCGCACCATGCAAGGGAACTTGCGCCTAGTGGTCAGTTGTATTTTATTTTAAAGTGCCATTTTGGATTTTGTGTTGTGTTTAATTAATTGTTTCGGTTTGTTTATAACATTCACTCCTGATTTTATTTTTTTCGCACATTTTTGTTCAAATTTTTGCGGGAAATCATTAAATATATAAGAGTGCGAACGTCCATTTATTAAATCACATTTTATATCAATGAACTTTATTGTGTCAATTATCAAACATATTTGTCGAACCCACAAAAATTTTGTGCAAACCGCGTTGACATTTTTATTTATAGTTTTTCGTTGCTTTGTCAAACTTCGATTCAAATATTGACTCGTGATATTTACTTGCCTGTTAGCAAATATAAAATTTGATATTTGCAAACAAAAGTTCTATAAAATTTTCTATATTTCCACATAACTATTTAAAAAGCTCAATATTGACCAAACACAATCTATCCTATTTATTTTAAATACTTTTAAATCGGTCAACTACTTTTTGGCTTTATACGGTACAAATATACAACGATATTATTATATATACATAGAATCTGTCTTTTTTTTTTCAAATTTTTAATTTTTCCTATTCGTCATTCGCGTTTTCATTTATTAAATGTTCAGGTATACTAGAATTAAACTATAAATGAGAATATAACGACAAATTTTGGTACATCAGTAGATTATATAAACTTATTTAAAACACGCGAGTTAGCATCTAAAGCCGACAATGTTTGGAAATTGCTTAACAATTCAATAACAATTACAACCAATAAACCGTGATAGCTTTATAGTTCACAAGAGTGGATTAAAAATATCCTAACACACAAGATAACTGTTTGACCAATGTGGTCTTCTTTCGATTTTTCGTACCACATCGACCTCCGTTGTTTCACAACTAACCGAAACTGTTTTTCGCGCTCCACCACTAAGGAACCAGCTGGCCATTGAATTATTTCCGAACCAATCCAACTTAGGATTGAAGACTAAAGCGTATCAATTATCAAACCCATTGTTTAATAAAATATGGCTTTAATTATAGATAAAAATAATCTCAGAAATACCTTTGTAGTGCTTCCTTGAATCGTGTAGGAGGAAGAGTAAGACTCTTCAGATAAATCTTCGCCAACTCCCTTCACAAACGCGTTTCTTATGAAAATTGCTTAACATAGAGAAAGTTTACAAGGCTTCAGATAAGGTTAGATTCACGTTTTAGAATACGGGGCTTACTGACTGGCATATCTTGCATAATCAATTCACGGCAATATTGTATGTTCAACCAGACAAAATTATTATTTTTGATAAGAATATTTGTGTAAAGAACAGAATTATTTTACAACATTAGTGTAATCTTTATATATATAATTCTTCTGTGAGTGTGTATGTCACTGAACTTCTCTCAAACGACTGGACCGATTTTGATGAAATTTTTTGTGTGTGTTCAAGGGGATCTGGGAATGGTTTAGATTCACAAATCAGCCCGCCAGATGGCGCTGCAGTCGGTACTTTCATACTTTGCTTTACTAATCGCTTGAAATATCATGCAGGACAACGTCTGTCGGGTCCACTAGTAAAATATATAAAACGTGATTGAACGAGAAGAGAAAATAACAATTGACACTCGTTAATATAGTAAGTTAGTTAGTTACGGTATTGTAAAGAATGCTACAGATGTGAAAAAAATACTTACGCAACTGGATTTCATTTATGAAATAACAGCATTTTCGTTTAAATTCTACAGCGATTTAATACCACATAATTTCATGTTAAAAGCCAATTCAATTTAAACTAAGCAAAATTACTTGTGGCCATTCAAATATATGTCAATAACATATTGATCGTCAACCAAATGATTACTAACTACAATTTGTAAATTGTAACAAACCGAAAGGGTTTCACCCCGGCACAAAATTAAATTTGTATATCCGAGGTGGAAATGCAGGGCGTAACTCAATTAAGAGCTGAGAAGAGACGCGCTCGGATCGCTTTGTGAGCTTATTAGCAATATTGAGCAGTTTTTTTTTGAGCAGAACCATGACCATGCGTTTAAATAAAGGCTGACCAGAAATGTGCGCAATTACTCGTACGGTGAAGGAGAATAAAGAGGCGGGAAGCACAAAAATTATCAAAACACATATACAGAAATCTGAGGCTAAGCTGGTGGTAGGGTAGTGTCACTGGTTTCTTAATCAAGTAATCCCCAAGCGGGGATTTCCTCGAGATATTTAAGCTCTCACTTATGTAAGGTACTCGATCAGATTGCAAAAAAATAGCTTGTTAGAAAAACTCAAGCGTGTTAAGGTTAGATAGAGATGCATAAAAGCAATATTTATTAATAGTATTATATTGAAAACAAACCAAAACTGTAATAAACATGAACAATAATATCATGACTAACAATAAAATTGAGTAAAACTCCAATGCAGTTCTGAACTAAGCGAAAGCATATTATACGACGATCGTATAATTTTCGTGTAAAAATAGATCAAAAACTAAATAACATACAATTTGCAAATGATATATATACCTATATTGGACCGCCGTTAAGCACTAGAAATTGCTTTACAGCGGTCCAGTGTCTAATTCTGGAACTCCCAATAGTGATTCCATCTCCAGTGATAGATTCCTGGTACATAATGTACGAATAATGTATATCAAGCCAAACCTCAGCTTCAATAGTTCTATTTTCGCCAAAAAGCAATGCTTTATTAACGCACGAAATTCCTATTTATCCAAACAAAAGATAGATCCAAAAAATATATTTTTTTTTAACAAACAAAAGTGCCTTCACTAAAAGTACTATAAAAACAAACAACAGTTGCCAAAAGTGCTACAGTTGTCATTATACACTTGACTGTTGAAGGTTAGGACTAACTAAAACTTATATGAATTTAATACTAGTTCCGCCATCTATGGGTCAACCTAAGAACTATTCAGCCTACTAGACATTTATGTTGAGTTTTTGTACGATTCCAAGGCTATCTACTACATTTCATACAAAACGTTGGGTTCACTGTCTAGAAGTTACAGAGTTCCAACGTTTTATTAGCCAAGGTATATTTTATTATCCGATCACGTAAGCTTATTTACATAATACTTACGTTTAGCCGAGGACTTGAGTTCACAGTTACAGATAATATTATAGCATTCGTAACATGCAAACGGCGCTAATAAATGTATACATACTTTCTAATTTTCCACTTTATATAACATTGTAATATTGGCCAAATTTATTTCACTGCGGGTCAGAAAGCACGAATTTTGTTCATTATTCTCTCGTGTTTCGTTATTCTGTATTCCGATTCAATGACACATAAATTAGGCAGTAAAGCAGCGAGAATTGATTGGGAAGCGTGTGGCGGCTAAACTCTAAATTCTGCATTTTATTCTTATGACTTGTACGGAAATACATAAAATCTTTAAGTTCCTCCTGCACACCATGCACCTTCTATATACTAACAATAGCAATACTAATTCAGAGGTTCTCAAGTAAAAATTTGGTTAGTTTTGTAAATCGTAAACAGGAAATGTTTAGTTGTACACAAATTAAATGTGGACAAAAAATATAGGAAAGACAGAGAAGTGCGGGTGTCGGGTCTTATTGACACAAACAAAAAAAATTAATATTATATATTTATTTGAATCTCCCACTGAGATTAATTCACTCCCTCCACGGGGCCTGCTACTCAAAAAGTGTGTTCCTCCAAAACGAGAAATCACCAATTATACAATATGGTCCATAACAGACGTTACATAAGATCAGTATATTACACACACACATATATATAAATTCTCTCTAATTATAAAGGCTCTAGTGCCTGCTCTAGTGAGGACACTGCACTGGGGACATCCCTGTGTCGTGGATCACCAGATATAGTTCCGTGGTATAAATTTGGAACAATACAAAGCAGTTAATAAGTAATGTACATTAATGATATAAACAAAACTGTAAAATTAATTAATTAATTAAAAACTATTTTATATATATCAAAAAGTGTAATAAAAAGGTTATATAAGACTTTATTATACTTTACATAAAAAACATGATAAGGACAGCTTAATCACCTTCCCAGATTAAATATTTTACAACTAGTGATATCAGAGGAGCAGCTGTGACACGATTTTTATAATATGCTTCCTCTACAAATTAATCAATACTAATTTTACATATTGCATTTTGAGGGGTACCCATTCCTCTGATAAACCGACATCAGATATATTTACATCCGATTATAGAACATTGAATAACTCGCCCATGACAATGTTTTGTTTATGATAATGAGTTAATTAAACCGGCGACTTTCGCCATGGTTACCTTAACGGTACAAACGTGTGCGAACATAACTTCCTACTGTGAAGTGAACTGGTTCTTATTTCATACTTTCCTTTTGTTATTGTTACGTAACGATAAAAATCTTTCGAATTTATCAAGAAACGTGTAAGTGAAACCTCTCTGAGAAAGATTTTGCAAGTTAAACGTTTAAATCGATCTTAGGGATCTTAGGATCTCTATAAAATTGGAAAAAAACTAAATTTTTATTTATATTCTAGTTGCAGTACAGATCTAAATTACGGTTAAATTAAAGTACAGTCTTAATGGGTTTCAGACAGCTAGATCTGTTTCATTGACTTTGTTTATGTAATTATTATTTTATTAGTTTTTTTATATAATTTTTTATACAATTAGGCCTTTTGTGCCTTGGGATTTTGAGTTTTCGAATAAGCGTTGATTCCGCACAAAGAAAGAACAGCCATAGGGAACAGCCTGAAAGCGAGGCATACTCGTCAAACACTTTATTCCTAATTTTCCCTCTTTTTCACTTATTCCTATTACCAAATTTTTCCTCTTTTTCATTTATTCCTATTACCAAATTTTTCATCTTTTTCACTTATTCCTTTTACCAAATTTTCCCTCTTTTCACTTATTCCTATTACCAAATTTTCCCTCTTTTTCACTTATTCCTATTACCTAATTTTCCCTCTTTTATACTTATTTCACTTATACCTTCAATTTACAGGTTACCCTAGCGGTAATCATTCTGGTGTCTTCGGTATCTGGGAAGGCGTTGATACCACAAGAACAACAACCACAACAGGAGCTTAAGCAAAACCTTAAGAATGTCGCGCAAAATCGAGCTGGTTACGATTATCCAGCACCTAGTGATGATGTAGAGGCACACGGGGATCTGCATCACCCCGAGCCCAGTGATCACGAACATCACATTGAGGAACATATTCCAGATGAACATCACGACCACCACGACCACCACGATCCGGGTTACTGGAAAAAGAAACTAATCTGGAAAGAGGGTGTTAAAAAGATTTGGAAAAACTCTAAGAAGCTCGCTTACAAACCAGGATGGAAGAAAATTTATAAGCCAGTTTGGCATGATATTAAGGTTCCAGTTTGGCAGGAAACAAAGGTGGTCGATTACAAGAAAATTTATAAACCAGAATGGAAGCCTATTAAAGTCAAAGCGTTGAAGGAGATAAAAATCCCTGATTACAAGAAAGTGACGGTACCAGTTTGGAAGGATATTGTTGTGCCAGGGTGGAAGGATATCCAGGTATTTAATGTTTTTATTATATAAATAAGTGGATACAAAAATAATAGAGCGTTGTTGGAACGAAGTTCCTTATCGCGCGTTGTGAAAGGGGGCTAGACGGAAAAAATTCTTACGAAAAGTCACGACACTTTTTTGCTATTTGCTATTGTAATACACCGGTTCTCGACCGATCACCGAAGTTAAGCAACGTCGGGCGAGGTCAGTACTTGGCTTTTTTTTGTAGGGATAAGAAATGAAAATTATTTTTGGAATCACTTAACTAAATTAGTCTTGTTGGAACGAAGTTATCGAGCGTTGCGAAAGGGGCTAGACGGAATAAATTAAGACCAAAAGTTGTAACGACACTGTGGCGTCCTCGTCGTCATTGGTAGCTGAAATAAAACATCAATAAAAATTACTAAGAATTAAATTATTAAAAATGTACTTACCAACTTCTACGTATAGACCGTGTCTATTGTTCTCCGCGGCAGGCGGGGGGCGAGGCACGCGCATTCCACAGCGCGCTCCGCCACCAGTACGGCCCACGATTTCTTAAGCGACACACGTGCAACTCGCTGCCGACGCCGCGGTTTATTTTTACGAAAATATATACATCGTTGAGATCACATAAGTTTTATTATTTATATAGTGTTTATACGACAACGCGAACACTATACTGGTGACCCCGACGTGATAAGAGTAAGAAAAAAACTACACGCCACGCGGTCTTAGCACTTTTGCCATGCAAGACGAAAACGGTGGGGACACGGACAATATGGAAAAAGGTGCACATGAAATTTTCAAAGTTGGAATTAAAATACCACCATTTTTACCGAATAGACCTGCACTCTGGTTTGCTCAACTGGAAGGCCAATTTTGTTTGGCGGGGATAACGTCAGACACGACTAAATTTTATAACGCGACTAGCCAGCTGGACCCACAGTTCGCTATTGAAGTTGCGGATATTATAGAAAGTCCTCCCAAAGACAACAAATACCAAACCCTCAAAGCGGAGCTAATAAGGCGATTAAGTAAACCGCGCGAAGAAGAAATTAGGCAATTTTTAGACAATCAAGAACTCGGCACTAGAAAGCCTTCACAATTTCTTCGTCACCTACAACATTTGGCCGGACCACAGGTACCAGACGAATTTATTAGATCAGCATGGCACAATAGGTTACCCAATAACATTCAACCTATCATTGCATCGCATATGGATATGCCGCTAGAGAAACTTGCAGAGTTGGCTGACAAAATTATAGCCATCGCAGCCCCAACCCCACCAAATGTTTACGCCGCTACATCGTCCTCAGCTAACCAACATGCTGGAAATCCTCCAGACCACTACCTCACCGTTTTAGAAAGCTTGGCCAGGCAAGTTAACGAATTAACCAAGCAAGTTGCTTCCCTGAGCATGAATAATAGCCGATCAAGCAGATCACCACAACGTAGGTATAACAGATCAAGATCTCACTCACGCTCCACCCAAAGATGGAAGGAAAACAAAATGAATAGCGTGTGTTACTACCACAGAAAATTCGGTGAAGGCGCCATAAAATGTCTCACGCCCTGTTCCTACAAGACTTTAAACGCGAACGGCAGCCTGTAGTGGCGGCTAACGACTGCCTAACGCATACTCCTAATGACCGCCTCTTCATCGTCGAAAAGAAAACTAAACTGAAGTACTTGATAGACACGGGATCTGACGTTTGCGTTTTTCCTAAGTCGGCGACCAGAGACCAGCGTCATAAAACTAAATATGAGTTATACGCTGCCAACAACACCTGGACCTCGGACTTCGCCGGGACTTCACCTGGAGATTCGTAGTTGCGGACGTCACACGACCCATCATTGGTGTTGACTTCTTGGGCCACTACAACCTATTTGTGGACTGTCGTCGTCACCGCCTCATCGACGGCCTCACAAGTTTGTCCGTCAACGCGCCACGCTGCGCCAACATTGCTGTGGAAACGGTGACCATCAAAACAGTTGCTGGAAACTCCGACTTTCACGACTTACTTCGCAACTACCCAGATGTAACGAAACCTACTGGAAAGCCAAAAGAAACCAAGCACCAAACGAAGCATCATATGCGTACTACCCCTGGTCCACCAGTCGCAGCTCGTCCCAGACGTTTAGCCCCAGATAGACTGCTTATTGCGAAAAAAGAGTTTGAAGAGATGTACGCAAATGGAACAGCTCGTAGATCAGAGAGCCCATGGTCATCTCCCTTACATTTAGCCAAAAAGAAGGACGACGGTTGGAGACCATGCGGCGACTATAGAGCACTTAATGCCAGAACCATCCCTGATCGATATCCAATAAGACAGATTAATGACTTTGTTTACCAGCTGTCTGGAGCTAAAATATTTTCAAAGATTGACCTGATTAACGCCTACAATCAGATACCTGTCGCGAATGAGGACATACCTAAAACAGCCATAACGACACCATTCGGACTGTTCGAATTTCCGTATATGACCTTTGGTTTAAGAAACGCTGCTCAAACCTTCCAAAGATTCATCGATGAAGTTCTTCAAGGCCTGGAATTTACATATGGGTATATTGACGACATCCTAGTATTCTCGAAGACCAGAGAACACCATCTTCAGCACCTTAAAACTGTCTTCGAACGACTTAACCAGTATGGCATCTTAATAAACACCTCTAAGTCCATATTCGGCATTAACGAAGTAAATTTCCTCGGCTACAGCGTCTCGACTGAAGGCATACGCCCTCTCAAAGAGAAAGTGGAAGCAATTACCAACTACCCACAGCCGAAAACAGCAAAGCAACTCCGACGGTTCCTGGGAATGATAAACTACTACCGGAAATTCATCCCTGATGCAGCAAAGATACAGGGTCCTCTGAACGATGCCCTAACAGGTAACATCAAAGGAAATGCACCTATCGATATGACTAACCTTGTAACAGCTTTCAATGAGTGCAAGCGCAGCCTATCTCAAGCCACTCTTCTTGTCCACCCTGAAATCAACCTGGATCTAGCCTTATTCACAGATGCTTCAGACGACTCCATCGGCGCTGTCTTGCAACAAAAACGAAAAGGCAACTGGGAACCCTTGGGATTTTTCTCTCGTAAACTGACGACATCGCAAAAAAAATATAGTCCATACGATAGGGAGCTACTGGCCATATACGAAGGTATCAAACACTTTAAATATATGTTGGAAGCAAGAAACTTTTGCATTTACACCGACCACAAGCCCATCACCTACGCCTTCACAACAAACAGAAGCCAGTGCTCTCCAAGACAATTCCGCTATCTTGACTACATATCTCAATTCACCACCGATCTAAAATACATTCCCGGGAAAGACAACATCGTCGCTGACGCCCTATCACGTGTAGAAGAGATTGTCACTATAAATTACGACGCACTTGCAAGAGATCAGGCTCAAGACCCTGAATTGCAAGCTTTGCTAACCAAAAACACAGCACTACAACTGAAACAGATTGCTGAAAACCAGCTGTACTGCGATTTTTCTACCAAATCGCCTAGACCGTACATAACACCTGCCTATCGCAAACGCGTTTTTGAAACCATACATCAACTCAGCCATCCAAGCGGCCCTACCACTGCTAAAATGGTAGCTCAAAGATTTGTGTGGCCCGGAGTAAGACGCGATTGCAAAACTTGGGCAAAGGAATGCGTAGACTGCCAACGAAGTAAAGTCAACAGACATACGAACGCACCATTTACAACCTTTCCAGTACCATCAGAACGTTTCGCCCACGTACACCTGGACATTATAGGCCCATTACCATACTCTAATGGCTTTAGATACTGCCTGACAGCAATAGACCGCTTCACACGTTGGCCTGATGGCTATCCACTAGCGGATATTACAGCAGAAACTTGTGCTTCCGCGTTCATTACCAACTGGGTATCTCGTCATGGATGTCCACAAACTGTAACAACAGACAGAGGCTTACAATTTCAATCACAACTCTTCCAAAGCATCACCAACCTGATCGGCGCAGAACATCGTCCCACCACCTCATACCATCCGCAATGCAATGGAATGGTGGAGAGATTACATCGCCAACTAAAAGCAGCCATCATCTGTCACAACAACCCACAGTGGACTGAAACACTTCCCCTAGTGCTACTAGGAATAAGAGCTGCCTGGAAAGAAGATCTGCAGGCATCAGCCGCCGAGCTAGTATATGGAGAACCACTACGACTACCGGGACAATTTTTCTCAACTTCGCTTGACCAGAACCTAAATCCAGCAGACTATACAGCTCGCTTGAGAAATCATATGGCAGCATTAACCCCAACTCCTGCATCAAACCACAACAGTAAAACATTCTATTTGCCGAATGACATACATACTGCACAGTTTGTTTTTCTTCGCCGTGGTCCCGCAAAACGATCGCTTGAATCACCATATACCGGCCCATATAAAGTTCTGAAAAGAAATACAAAAACATTTTCATTAGACATAAAAGGCAAAGAAGTTACAGTAACAATAGACAGAATAAAACCAGCTTACCTTACGAAAGAAAACAGAGAATACGACACGACTATTCGTCCACCGATGACCGCACTGCCGTTCCACACCAATCACGATGCACCGCCACCTGAAAAAAAGACTAGAAGTGGAAGATTAGTTAAGTTTCCGGACTACTATCGACCGTGAAACGGTCTCGGCAGGGGAGTGATGTGGCGTCCTCGTCGTCATTGGTAGCTGAAATAAAACATCAATAAAAATTACTAAGAATTAAATTATTAAAAATGTACTTACCAACTTCTACGTATAGACCGTGTCTATTGTTCTCCGCGGCAGGCGGGGGGCGAGGCACGCGCATTCCACAGCGCGCTCCGCCACCAGTACGGCCCACGATTTCTTAAGCGACACACGTGCAACTCGCTGCCGACGCCGCGGTTTATTTTTACGAAAATATATACATCGTTGAGATCACATAAGTTTTATTATTTATATAGTGTTTATACGACAACGCGAACACTATAACACTTTGTGCAATAGTTGTTATATTTTACATTTTCGATTTAGCTATCGCCAACGTCTATACCACGTTGAATACACCGGTTCTCGTCCGATCACCGAAGTTAAGCAACGTCGGGCGAGGTCAGTACTTGGATGGGTGACCGCCTGGGATCACCTCGTGATGTTGGCTTTTTTTTCGTCGTAAGATTGATGTCGAGAAAATCTATCATACTGTTATGATACCAATTAACATATAAATTAATCGAAAGGAATTTCGTTCCATCCGGGTGTCCCTTGACACCTCTAAAGTTTTTATTTTATATAATTATCCAGGCGCTAAAATCCTAAATGAGTCTCAGATTGCATTGCATTGGTGTTAGCTGTCTGTGAGAGACGTGTTATCGATTTTTGGGTCTAAGTTATATCGGTTTCCTCACGATGTTCGACTTCACCGAATGAGCCAGTCTTAGATGCATACGCTGAAACAAAAACCTATTGGTGGACGGCCGTGATTGGAACGCACGTCCTCAGGGTTGAGAGTCGCAGGCTTAAGCCACTAGGCCAACATACATCACGTTGTCTGTAGTGTAAAGACAATGAAATTATATTTTTAAATTTTTGTAAAATTTTACTTTTTTTTAATATTTTGTTAAATCGAACTGAAAACTTATTGTCATTATATAATTATTAGTTGCTGTTATACTAAACTTACTGTTGACTACACTGCATTCTTATTGAAATTATAAATATTTACAGGTTCCCGCTTACAAAAAGCTTTGGAAGCCCAAATGGATCAAGGTGGGTGTACCTGGCGAAAAATACTTAGGCAAAGACCACGATGGCTGGGAGTACACTTCACATGACCTTTGGAAGAAGCGGCTGGTCTGGGAACCTTATTGGCAGAAGTACTTTAAACCAGCCAAAACCAAAATTTGGATTCCAGACAAAAAACTTGTATGGACAGATAATTGGGTCAAAATCTGGCGCCCTGGTACCAAAGAGATCTGGATTGACGACAAGCAACTTGTATGGAAAGAAGCTTGGCAAAAGTACTGGAAACCATCGAAAAAGCTGGTCCACGTATGGGACAAAAAGTTGGAGTGGCAGGAGTCATTCAAGCAGATATGGATACCTTACTGGAAGGATATCGTTGTTCCCGGAATCAAAAAAATTTGGAAGCCCGTCTGGATTTCAGAGTGGTTCCCTTCGCCCGATCACCACGACCATCATCATGACCACGAATCTCACGGTTGGGATCGAAAGGATGTCTCATCCGGAACCGAAGAAACTGGTACACCAGTTTCTACAACGCCATCACCTATTTCAAATTTGTGGAAATTTCCAAAATAATGTTGCATATGCTAAAATTGCATTATATATAGCTATTGGATATTTGCCATACTGGATGTAGATCCTGAAGGGAGCTATTGCATCACGCGTCGCAAATAGGTAACTAATTTATCGTCTGTATTTATTTGCGTGGCGAACTGTATATATGTGATGCAATGCGATGTTCTTGCGGTGCCAAATAGATATAAAAACCAAAAGTTCGAGGGCCCAACGATATATGCGCAAGTTTTTATTCAACTTTGTGTTAATAAGACTTTTGTTCATAGGAAAAAACCAAACATTAAATGTTAAAAAGAACTCAATGCGTTGATTTTGAAGATGTCATTAAAAGCTTTGTTTTAGTTATTAAACTGAATGTTGACGGTCGTTTTGAAAACTTGAATTTGTGCCTCTGTGTTTGTGTGTTGTTGATATATTATTAATTTTAGTTTTAAGTTATTAAGCGAAACCAAAATAGATGTTATATCTTTAATAAATGTTGTGTTCTAAATATTTGTTTTATTTTCGGTTTATTTTAGATATGGCCTAACAGAACGACATTAATTCTACTATTACCAACAAACCTTAAACATAGCTGGCTGCATCTGTTTCACTAAAATCTTTATAAGTGACTCATTAGCTTTCTTCCAAGCCAATTACCGAGTCACCTTGGGACCTCTAGAGTATCCTGCGTTATCAATGGAGTCTTGGAGGCGGAATTGTAATGGTAGTAAGTAAATCCTGTGATCGTGCTATCACATATGATCGACATATGATCTGAATATCTTAGGATAAATTGATGTATAATAACGCCACTGCAATATTTCCTATGAAGATTTTGAAGGGCAGTCTGTAAAGTGTTTGAAAGTTGGGTTTGCACACTACTGTGCCTGGACAGCTACATATGGTCTACCAAAGTGTCTGATATTCATTCCAAATTTCTATGACAGTACTGGAATATTGCACTGTTGTATAAAACTCATGTGTAGTGTAGTGGACATGTGGACTATTTTTTTATATCAAAATCCCTATTAAATGCGCCAAAACTTGTAATACTTTTCACTTTTCGGTAGAGTATTTTTTTTCACAGTGGGGTCCGAAGTAAACAAAAAGATATGATTTGAAAAATAATTGTATCGTATAACTTAATATTATCTTCAATACACTCAATAAACAACTATAAATAGTATGTCTAACGCAAGAACTCATCAGTACCAATCTAGTGGATATTATGAAAAAGATACAGGATTTAGTTTTTATCGAATTTTAATAAGAATTAGTAAAAAAAAGTCAATTTTCTTATAAAAACGCAAAATAAATTATACTCTGCTGGGGTAGAGCTTAGAGACCTCCCGTAGAACTATTTTTTGCAGCTGATGACCTAATCTATCCCCTAGTTGTGTTTGATACACGACCAACCAGTTTTGACCACCCTGTATATACGAGTATTTTGAATTAACCTTTTAATACAATGGCTACAGCTGTCACTAGCTTCACTTTGTCTGAATAAAATAATAGGGGCAGAAATATCTGGGAGTGCTTTTAATGAAATCACATTTTTTACGTGTGGAAATGACATGAAAACGTAAGATCCATGATCCATGCGACTTCCTTACAAAGGAGTACACAATTCCCGAGGTTTTTTGTATAGAATCGAAATCGAACTCGCATGGGTCCGTCAAGCATTGTTGGTATAATGGTAAAAATCTGATGAGGCACTGGCGTTATACGTCTCGGTTCTGAATGTTACCCTGGGTATTCTTAAATCAAACTCATACAAAGTAAAATATATGTAATAAAATAACATTGTAATACAATTGTAAGCTTTAGAAATATGAGCTAAATAAGGTTTTTTAATTACAATGTGTATACTTACGGAATATTTCTATGCGTTTACCACAAACCAATACGAAAAAAAGCACCGTCCAAAGAAGTATTTAAAATAAAGTAAAATCCGCATATACACGTTTGGTACTACCAAATAAAATGTATAAAGTAAAATGTAATAATAATAAAATGTCTTAAACAGATTTACTGTGTAACTTAAATTTTATATATTGATAAAAATAAAGACATTCGGAATGGGATTCCACCTTCGCGCTTAATAAAGTCATGGAAATAGAAGATGATGCGAGGCAAGGATTTAAGAATTAATGTAGAAATGTATAACTCCCGCAGACGTAGGTCTACATATTGGACCTCTTATAAGCTGTACACCAATTTTCCACGAACTCGGTATTCTGACAGTACCAAGTTTCTCTTTGAAGCAGTTATGACTGTCAAGAAGCATCCACAATTATTTAAAACTTACAAAGAAACTTGCTTGTATATACCGAGGGATCCAACACGGCTGCGGGTACCTGCATGTTGCACCGCGCTATACTCCAAAAATTGTTACGCCATGGCTGTGAGAATATTTAATCACCTTCCTAAAAATTATAGTTCGCTGCCATGTAATGTTTTTTTTTAATGAAGGTGATTAGGTTTAAGAAGTCAAGGTGCTTTTATAGCGTGACCGAATATTTAGAACATAAGTTTAACAAATACTTATAAATGACTTGACTTCTTATTATGACATTTGCATACCTATTTAAATATGGCTGATTGTGCGGATTTTTCTTGTTGTTCGATTTTTTATTTTGTACCACTATCTTGGCAAATAAAGGATTTACATTTTTACATTTACATTTACATAAACATACTGAATATATTATACAAATAAAAAAATAGCTTCAATTAATATCAACAATATTCGGTAAAAATAATAGTCAGATGCACTTCTGACGCGCTATTCATTAGTATTGTAGAACATTAGGTCAAAATAATATTACTTATCAGCCATAATTTTTTTGTGAACTGTATTGTAAAAAAAAGAAAAAGATGCACTTTTGAAAAAGGGAATGATTAAGAGTATCTCCAACAAACCAGCAACACGATCGTTTCATTTGTCAACTGACCACCAACCTGCAGGCTTATCCTGTAACCTCAATAACAATATCGTGCCATCTGATAAAATCCCAGTTAATAGTTAAGTATTTTTATGAAAATCTGTTTTACAGAGTAGAGTTGCTGGTTATTTACACTATGATTATTTATCAAATACTGCAGGCCCCAAGAATGGTACATGTTTTACTACAGGTTCCCCGAAGCTCAACACATCTTTGACAGGCTCGAACCATTTTGCCAAGAACGACAAAATCAGTAACGAAAAGAGAATCTTCACTATCCAATCCAAAACGTAGAGGCTGAAAATACACAATATAATACATATATAAAGTAAGAAAAAAGCAGTCTTTCCTAAAATTTCTATGAAACTGAGAACTAAATATATTATGGATCTCCTTGGGCTCAAAAAAGGTACTCCTACATAAGAGTGTTAGTAAAAAGTATTATTGTAAGAGAAATTGTTTTTCAAACCAATTGTCTTTACTGCCACACTTTTAGTATAATCTTAGATATACTCAAAAATGTACTTTCAACTTTAAACTAAAACTAACGGTTAAAGAACTGGCTTCTAAATACACCTTACGCAGAGTTGGAGAGACGTAACATGTACTTGATTCATACGCTTACTTATGCACTTACATGCACTTACACATTCACTCATTCACTTACATGCACCCACACACTGACCTATTCACTCACATGCACACACACTCACCTATTCACTCAAATGCACACACATTCACTCATTCACTTACATGCACCCACACACTGACCTATTCACTCACATGCACACACACTCACCTATTCACTCAAATGCACCCACATACTCACCTATTCACTCACATGCACCCACACATTGACTCATTCACTCACGTGCAACCACACACTCATAAATTCACGCATATGCGTCTACACACCCACCTATGCACTCACGTATGTTACACGTCGAGTATGCCTTTAAAAATTAGGAGATTAATTTGTTGCAAACAGTTAAAAACATCAATGTTGTAATTTAAAAAATATATACTCTAACTTTGGTAAGGGACTATTTTATATAAGTTGTGATACCCCTGATATAAAAGAATTAACCACATAATCTATCTATTGCAATCTATATCAATTTGATATCTATCTAAAAATACCATAAATCACTTACTCTTTACTCGCCTTTTACCAATTAACGAAACAAAGGTAAGAAGTTATGAATTATAAATTTTATACATCGAAAATAGAGTTAAGCTTACTCACAAATTTTGATACATTTTATTCAAATGTATTTTAGCGGGATCCTCCTTCAAACAATACAAGCGACCGCCTTCCACACAATTCTGAATATATTCCTTTTTCTCAACATTGCTAAGATCGGTACTAAAGGTTGTTTTGTCGTCGCCATGAAGTTTCGACTCTATCGCATCAAAATTCGGGCATGGGAAGGTCCAAGGCCTCATTGTGAAATATTGTAGTACTTGTAGGCCTTGGCTTATCCTTTCTTGGACTCGGAGCATACTGAAAAGGGAACAAAACTATACTGTTCTGGAATTGCACATATATTATCAAAAATGAATTCAAGAGGAAGTTTCTTACAGGCATTTTAAATGCGTTAGAACCTTCCTGAATACGCTAACTATAAAAAAAAATTCTTGAAGTTGATATCTCCTAACAGGCGGCGTAGACCGATGGGCTTTTTTAAGGATCATGAATTAAATACTTTTATACTAAATTTTATAAAATTACTAGCTGACCTGGCAAACGTCGTTTTGCCATGTATAACATTTATAATAAAAAATAGGGGTTGATCGTAGAGGGGTGAAAATTATAAAAAAATAATTTGCAATAACATAATATTGCGGGTATAAATTAAGATGTAAGCTATCCTATCTTTTAAGTTAGATCAAACTGCACACGGTGTGCAAATTTGATTGAAATCTGTTAGGTAGTTTAGGAGTCCATAGCGGACAAACAACGTGACACGTAATTTATATATATTAAGATTTAGCAGAAATAAAAGCGTCTTTTCGAAAATTCGTGGTATACACGACAGGCAACACTCATTCACAAATATTCAGGAAATTTTTGATTACTACGTAGTTCTTGACGCCTTTTGGTAGGTATAATATTTTGGTAATATAATGTATAAGTAATGTAATGGATAATGATATTGCAATAAATCAATAGGATGGACTGTATCTCCGTTGATTCAAGACCCGACAGCGGGTAACCGCAGGTCCTTCAGATGAATACACTACAATAATGAGCCATGAAGCTACCAATACCACCCAATAAACCAATATGTTTTATGTACCCTCTCGTTTAGATACATATTTTTTTCTTTGATAACATCAAATATAATAGACAGAATGTTCATCTATATAATCTAATTTCGCAAAGGAAAATTATAGTTATTATAGGGGTAATTTTAATATAACCTAGGGAGATAGACCCTTCTGTAAGTAGAAAGGTAAGCTTGAAGGAAATATTACATGAAGGCAAAATTTTTGATGAAATTGCGTTCTATAACAATATATTCCCTGAGGCCAAGACAGTAAAATCCAAAAAAATTAAACCTTTATGCCGTTTACAATAATTTCTTTCTTAACAACATGTTAAATTAAAAGCGTTAGTAATTAGTTTTTGTTTAATGTTTATTTTAATTAATTTCAACTTTCAACACATGTTAATTGAACGAAATTAGATTAAAAAAAATATTTTCGATGGAATTCTTTTTAGACGAAGCTACGACCAGATAAATTAAATGAAGCCAAATGACAGCGCTTAACGTATTTCATTACCGTTGTGTTATAAACACACAATAATATATTCTTATTACAAATCGAATCTGTAACTCATATAGTTAATGCTGTAGAAAAATACATACAATCGTTTTTGTCCAGTGATCAACAGCAAAAAGTCTATGCAATACGCAGGAAGTAAGTGGTAGAATATCCTTTTGAACTCGTGTAACGCATAGTTTGTCGTAATATCACCATTTGGGTACCAGAGTGGCCACGCCAGAGGGTACTTTCGGCCGTAGTCCTTTCCTATCTTTAAAACATCGCCCCAGGTGGTTGGCTTTTGGTGTCCAGTGTTAATGTTATAGATTGGTATTACATCTGGCCTGAAAATATTTTAATTCATATATACATGTGATATCGAGGAGGAAACTAATTCTCAAACACCAAGGTTGAGAAAAAAATCGTATTTCGGAAAAATATTGTCTTTATTCGATGCACATGTGTATATAAATAAATTGTGTTAAAACTTCATGAGAAAACTTATAACTTAAAGGTATTTTATTCAAGCTCTTTTTTATTTTAGCTATTTCAGGTATGTTCAATTCATCATTGTCGTCGGTTTAGTTGATATAAGATACTTTAGATGCACCTTACGTGAGCCTAATGATTTAAGTAACAAAATTGTAAACAGAAAATTCCTTCACCACAATGCGCACTTATAAATACTAAAATTGATTGGCAAGCCGGGTTGCGAACGCACGATCTTAGGAGTGCCTTTGACTTGCGTTGACTGACACTGCTTTGTGTGCAACATCGTATAAATCCTGACAAATTAAATGAACTACCAAATTTGTGTATGCTCTTGAAAATTTAGATGTATAATACATTACAATTGAGACCGCATTTTTTAACTAAAATACACGCAATATAAAAATGATAATAATCGTACTTCTCCGTCCGTAGTCCTTCAATCATACCAATCGCTATGATTGCATTAATCGCCGTATCCACAGGGATAACTTGAGCAAATAGGGATCCATCGCAGAGCATACTTCGGATCGCGCCTTTTCCAGCACCCAACATGAGTCCTACTGGGCCATTTAGATTGTCCACCCATCCGGGAAGTGGCTCCGATAAAGCAGGACAAACTGGAATAAGAAAAAGACTTTAATTTTCAATTTATGCACAGTAGTCAGAATTATTTTTCTAGATTCTAATCTTCACTCAGAGTATATATGTCGAAGCGAACTAGCTTAATTGGCCATTCAATTAACGGCCTAGAATTTTACTAAATGGCGCCCTTTAAGTAACGGCCTGAAAGAATATTTTTGTTACAACATTTAATAAACTGGCTGGCTAATGTTAAGGCCATACGTACTGTTACATCCCTAGATTGCTAGCCTTAATGCTAACTCATCATCTGCATCATCAATGCATACTTTTAGAGAATTATGATCATGGTGACTTCAGTCAGTCTGCGTACATTATTCCTAGAGAGCGGTTGTCCAATTATTGTATTTTACTCATTCTCATACTCATTTAATTAAATCCTTTTTTTAAAAAGGCATTTTAATTTCACGGCCTAACATTTGGTGGCAGCGGTGGGATCCGAAAATCCCCAGTGTCCGACATCGCTCTGCAGACTCGCTCTTTGTTCGTGGCCGTATCAGTTTTGTATATGTGCAAAAGTGTATAAAGTGCTTGAAAGTGTTTAAAGGCGCATAAAAGTGAAGTGTTTCACCCCGCTAGAAAATTGCATTTAGTCAAGTCTAGCAAAGAATCTGTTTTGTTCCGGTATTTTGTAAGACAAAGTGTCAATTTAAATAACAGGCTGAGAATAAATCGTCGCTAATTTCGCGGAATGTTACTGCACGTCGTCTCGCTTCTATCAATCGCCCACGCAGAAATTCAGTAAGTCGCTGGTCATTGTTTATCTTTAACATTCTTAGGGCTCAATCATTGTTATATGTATTCATATTAAATTAATAAATATTTCTGTTTCTCGTTTGTAACTTGCTTAATTATTTAACTAACTTACTTATTATGCCAAAGGTGTCAAAACTTGAAGAAGGCAAAATTACTATTGAAATTCCTGAAATCGAGCAAGGTACAAACGAATTTAAGGATAAATCACCTGTTAGCTCTCCTCGCATTACGAGAAAGACTGCCGCAGCGCTCGCCATGGCTGAATTAGAATTAAACATAATTTTTAAATTCATTAAATCATACGATGGGAATCGTGAGACCCTGAACTCATTTTTGGTAAATTGCGATAACGCATTCGAACTTGCATCAGAGGGTCAAAAACCCGTATTATTCAAGTATGTTTTAGCTCAACTAAATGGTAAAGCGGAAATTGCCTGCTCTATTAAAGAATTTACAACTTGGGAACAACTCAAAGAGTTTTTGAAGACTCAATTCAGTGAGAGGAAACATAATTCACATCTTTTAATGGAATTGCAAGAGAGCAGGCAAGGTCCACAAGAAAATGTCAGCCAATATGCTTTAAGGATGGAAACTTATTTATCGCAATTGCTAACAGAAATATCTTTGTCTACATCAAAAAATAAAGAACTTCCAGGCAGAACAGCTGCTATGGAAGACCTATCTCTTCATCACTTCCTAATGGGGCTACAGCCTCGTATCTCAAATATTGTTAGATGCAAATCACCAAAATCTTTAAATGAAGCCATTAATTTCGCGATCTCAGAAGAACGTATACAATTGACGCTATATCGGCGTCCACAACCTGATCAAAAGCCTAACAATAACGGCAATAATAATAACAATAGGTTCAAATCAGGCCCTTCAAGGGCTAATATCAATTTCTCTCCGTCCCAAAGGCCTGTACCTAATGCTAACTTTCAAAGAGGTCCAACCAGTAATAACACTGCTTTTTGCCGTTATTGCAAACTAACTGGTCACGATATAGCGCAATGCAGGAAACGGGAATATAACAACAAATTACGCAATCAACAGAATGGCCAACCTAATAGACAACCTCCACGTGTAAATTTCTTAGAGCAGCCCGATGAAGAAACGGGTTATGACGAGGAAGATCAAGCCCCTTTAAACGAATAAATGTCTCGTCCCGGTGTCTCACGAGACAAAATATTAAAAAAAGACACCAAACAATACCTATCTATTTCAAACTCCAGGGACCACTCGGGTAACCAGCCCCCAAAAAGCGCCCATTCTATCAAATTCAGGGACCACTCGGGTAACCAGCCCCCAACAAGCGCCCATTCGCTCAAATCTAGGGACCACACGGGTAATCAGCCCCCAACAAGCGCCCATTCCATAAAATCTAGGGACCACTCGGGTAACCAGCCCCAAACAAGCGCCCAACCTCACATTCAAAAGAATAAAATTCATAGAGACCACTCGGGTAACCAGCCCCCAACAAAGGCTCAATCAATTTCCAAAGAAATATATGAAGTGCATATAGACACAACTAAACGATTCCTACCACATATTTTAGTCCAATCCGAAATCTCGGATATCCCATTATCTTTATTAGTAGACTCTGGTTCTGCTATATGCCTACTCAAAGAATCAAGCATCCGAAGCAATCAAACATTAATTAAAGAAACCATTAAACTCAAAGGTATTGATCCTAATAATGAGTCAACTATGACTGTAGGTCATTTTCAATTTAAGTTAGAGGTAACAAACACCAAACGTTTGCCATTTAAATTTCATGTTGTCCAAAATATTAATTTGCCTTATGACGGTATTATTGGTACGGATTTCTTAACGGAATTTGGTTGTAAAATTGACTATACCCGTGATGTGCTAAAGATAGGTAAATACGAGATTAAATTAATATTTTCCGAACCATTCTTTGTCATTCCCCCTCGTTCAGAAGCTGTCATACAGTGTACAGTTCATAAAACTAATCTTAAGGAAGGGCTAATTACGGATCAACACATCTCAGAAAATCTTCTCATATCTAATTGTATTGTTAAGGTAAGAAATAACAACTGTGTAAATATAACCGTAGCAAATACCTCAGAGTCTCCTGCTAATGTAAAAACTAACTTAAATCTTACTATCATACCCTTAGATTCCATCTCATATCCTATAAACTTAATAAGTCATGATATAACTCACCGTACTGATGAAGTCATTAGCTCATTAAGATTGACTATTTTAAATATAGAAGAGGAAAAGGCTCTTATTGAATTGTGCTCAAGTTTCTCCGACATATTCTTTCTTCCTAATGATAAACTTACCTATACTTCTGCTATTGAACATCGTATTAAAACTAATAGTGACATTCCTATTCACACTAAATCATATAGATTTCCGGAATGTCACAAGAAAGAAGTGGAAAGACAGATCAATAAAATGTTAGACCAAAACATTATAGAACCCTCTTCTTCTCCTTGGAGCTCACCAATTTGGGTAGTACCGAAAAAATTAGACTCTAGTGGTGAAAAGAGTTGGCGTATTGTGATAGACTATAGGAAATTGAACGATGTCACAATCGGAGAAACTTATCCAATTCCACAGATATCGGAAATACTCGACCAGTTGGGTAAGAGTAATTATTTTACCACTCTGGATCTAGCTTCTGGTTTCCATCAAATCCGTATTTCTCCTGAGGATGCATCCAAAACCGCATTTTCAGTCCCTCAAGGACACTTCCAATTTAATCGGATGCCGTTTGGGTTAAAAAATGCCCCCCTCAACCTTCCAAAAACTCATGAACACCTGTCTTACTGGCCTCCAAGGTTCCAGGTGTTTCGTTTATCTCGATGATATCGTCGTCTACTCCTATGATTTAACCTCTCATATCCATAACCTTAAATCGGTATTCCAAAGAATTCGTAATTACAATTTAAAAATACAACCTGCAAAATGTGAATTTCTTAGAAAAGAAGTGACATACCTAGGGCATATCATCAGTCAAAATGGTGTTCAACCTAACCCAACCAAAGTCAAAGCTGTCGCAGATTTCCCTACGCCTAAATCCTCTAAAGATATCAAATCATTCTTAGGACTCGTCTCATACTATAGACGGTTCATTCAAAACTTCTCCAAATTAGCCAAACCTTTGACCAATTTACTTAAGAAGGATGTACCCTTTTCATGGGAACATGAACAACAACTGTCATTTGAAACATTAAAAAACAACCTTATTTCCGCCCCTATACTAGCGTATCCTGATTTCTCACAACCATTTCTCCTTACCTGTGATGCATCCAACTATGCGATATCAGCAATATTATCACAAGGCGTCATAGGACAAGATCGTCCTATAGCCTTCGCATCCCGTACATTAAATCGAGCCGAAGGTAACTATAGTGTAACAGAGAAAGAATGCCTTGCTGTAATTTTTGGCACAAAAGTATTTAGACCCTATATTTATGGGTATCGATTTACAGTTCTAACAGATCACAAACCATTAGAATGGTTATTCAAATGCAAGGATCCAGGGTCACGCCTTATAAGATGGCGTTTAAAGTTAGAGGAATTCGAATACGATATTAAGTATAAAAAAGGGAAAATCAATACTAACGCTGATGCTCTATCTAGATTCCCCGTAAATCCTGTCCAACCTGAAAATATAATTGAATCAAATCCAAATATAGAAAATGCTTCTACACGAGATTTAGATAGAGATCTGATGGACTTATTGACATCACCACCTTCTTTTAACCCCGACGAACTTATTTCAACTTCGGATCCGCTTCAACCCGACGAAAGTATTGTATTGCTACCCGAACTCAATTCTCCCCAACAAGAACCTGATTTGGTTCCCTCGACAGACTTAATCTCGCCCACCAGCGCTGAGAATCCTCTGAGAGAAGAAACTAGTATTATTGTACCTGAATTAACGCAACCAATCACTGACCATGCTGGCGAGGGCTCAATTCCATCTTTAAGGTTTTCACCTGGGCTCAATTTACCTGATGACAATTACTCTACTTTCCTTAAGACTATGAATAAGAACGATAAGATTTTCACTACAAAAATATTAGAGTACAATGACGATATAACGAAGTCGAAATGTAAAACTATCATATTGCCAACTTCAATTGACCTTGATGAATCCAACCCATATGTTCAGGGTATTCTTAATACCCTACCTGAAGATTCAGAAGTAATCAACAAAGAAAGAGTCTTAAACTCATACATATCCTTTAAAAACAATAACAAAACTTACTTTTTATTATTCTTCAAAGTTCATCATTTCGATAAGTCATCCTATGTAGACATCTATAAAAGTCTTAAAACTCTAAGGGACGAATTAGTGGCAAACCCTGATAATAATAATGTCACCGATATAGCAATAACAGATTTCAAAAATCCTTTTGACACGCACCAGTTTGTTAAAATCTATAACATGCTTCTTTTTCTTTTTGACAACTCCGAGATAACTATACATATTTACAAAGATAGAATTATATATCCATCTCTCTCGGAAATATCTAAGATACTAAAAGATAATCATGATATTCCAATTGCTGGACATCTCGGTTCCAATAGAATGTTGAAACGCATCCAAGAAGTGTTCTACTGGAAAAATATGCGAAGTGATATTGAACATTTCGTAAAGAAATGCCCTCAGTGCCAAGCTAATAAAGCACTTAGACAAGTAAACCGATCTCCTATGCAGATCACCAGTACTTCAACTGAGCCGTGTCAAAGAATTTCTTTAGACATTGTAGGGCCGTTACCCGAATCAGGTCTGGCGAAGCTTAAATATATTTTGACTATTCAGGATGACCTCACCAAATTCTCCTCTGCTTATCCAATCCGTAGTACAACAGCTGAAGAGACTAGCGAATGCTTGCTTCATTTTATCTCAATATTTGGAATTCCGAAAACAATTCTTACTGATCAAGGCACTAACTTCACCTCAGAATTATTCAAGGAAACTTGCAAATTCTTAAAAATAAAAAATCTATGGTCTTCTCCTTATCATCCACAAACCCAGGGTGCTTTGGAAAGGAGTCATTCAACTCTTAAGGAGTATCTAAGATCCTTCGTAGACGAGGGTCAGTCAAATTGGCCGCGATTTGTTTATACGGCTATGCTCACTTATAATACATCAGTCCACTCAACGACCCACTATACTCCTTACGAGCTAATGTTTGGCAATAAACCGGTAATTCCGAATTCCATCTACGAAGAAACACCAGGTGCAACATATCCAGAGTATGTGCGCATGCTCCAATGTAGATTAAAACATTCACGAGATAAAGCATTAAGTTTTATTAGGAAATCAAAGGAGTCTTCAAAAGCTTACTATGACAATCACACCCGTCAAGTAAAATATAAACCAGGAGATTATGTTTATCTCAAAAACCATTTAAGAATGAGAAAAGCACTCTCAGCCCTCTGGAAGGGACCATATAAAGTAGTTAGGATAAATGGAAACAATACACTCACTCTATTGATAAATAGACGTCATGTAACTCATCATTTTGATCAAGTTAAGTTAGCTGAAGTTGCCACAATCGATGTATAAAGAATAATACAGTTAATAGAATAGTATAGATAAATTAATTATTTACCTTAAATATTATTTCACAGCTCAACTCTTGGAGAGCCCCAACGCGACCTTGTCAAGCCAATAACTTCAAGCTCGGGCCTCTATTATGATTACTTAGGGAAACTTAAAATTAATAATGTTCAACTACAAATAATAATGCCAGTAGACATTTCACATTTTAAACCGCACTTGCAAAATATCGAAGATACCCTAGTGGTTATTGAAAATCTATGTAATAAGACTCGTATCATAGAAGTTATGTCAGAATGTCATAATTTGTTACTTCCTTTAACAGCACGATTCGAAGATATGAATAGGCAATTCTCTTCTATCTCACATCTTATTGACAATAGAGTTAAACGTGGTGCCTGGGTAGGAGGTGTAGGAACCATCCTAAAGCATATATTTGGCACCTTGGACGAAAATGACGGTTTAAAATATGATGAAGCTATAACATCCTTGCAGCATGACGAAAAGCGGTTAGTTTCTCTCGTGAAGGAGAATATTTTAGTTAGTAGATCGGTATTAAAAAAATTATAATGATACTATATATAAATTAAAGGATAATGAAAATAAACTTAATTCCGCTATCGACAAGCTCTTTCAAAAAAAACTAAAATCATTAATGAGAAAATAAACGGATTCAAAATACTCTTGAATGTAAACGAGATATTTAATATTTTGGAGACATCAATAATTACCCTATTATTCCAATTGGAGGATGTTATTAATGCTATCTTATTTAGCAGCCAAGACATACTCCATCCTGCCGTGATAACATCTAAACAGTTATATGAAGAGCTTGCTGATAACTATAGACATCTATCTAGCAACTTAGAGTTGCCAATAGCTTTAGATATTAATTCTATACATTTAATTCTAAGTATATCTAAGTTAATTTGCTATTACATTAATAATAAGATTATATTTGTTCTTCAAGTACCACTTGTTAATATTAAGGAATATATAATGTTTCATGTTATTGCTCTGCCAACGCCACATAATCCTAAAGAGCCAAATTCATTTTCTTTAACAATTCCTAGTAATAAGTATATAGCAATGACCACCGACAAATCCCAATACTGTGTTTTCAATAACTTGGAAGTTTGTAAAATGGTGAATCCTGGAAACTTTATTTGTGACATAGAAAATGTATATTCCACGGAAGCAAAACCTATTTGTGAAAGTGAACTATTAGTCAAGGTAATAAGTGAAAAACCGTTGCAATGTGATTCAACGATTATAACAGGAAAGCTTGACATTTGGCAGCCCCTAATGAATAACAAATGGTTGTTTATACAGTCAGATCCACAAAGAATATCCATAGACTGTTCAGGATCCAAATTATTTGAAACAAACATTCTAGGTACTGGAACACTCCATATACCAAAAACGTGTGTAGGATATTTCAAAAGTACTACTCTTGTACCAAAGTATAACATTTTAAATATTTCGTCACCCATTAATCATTTCCCTGATTTTAATCTTATAAATGACACATGTTGTGATTTAGTTAAGCTTAGTGATAAGGCTGATAATGTATCTCCTGTTCACTTAAACAGTATAAATTTAGACGATCTGAATTCAGAGAATAAGTTAAAATTAAATTCAATCCTTACCGACCTAGGTAAGTTAGAAACTTCTAAGCAACCTCATATTGTGGAATATGGGACACATTATTCAGCAACAATAATTGTAACTTTTGTTTTAATAATTTCATTTTTATTATATTTAGCTATTAAGAAATTTTGTAAATCCTTTTACAACCGCCCTCTTCAATATACAGTAAACCTTAATAAAACCATGACTGAACCTCCTACTGAGGACATAGAAAGTACAGAAAAGAAAAATCCCGAAATAGAAATTGTTCACCAAAGTGCTCCAATTAGAACTAGAATATAAAAGAGCCTTTAATTTTCTCACCAAAGGCTCTATCTTAAAGGGGGGAGATGTTACATCCCTAGATTGCTAGCCTTAATGCTAACTCATCATCTGCATCATCAATGCATACTTTTAGAGAATTATGATCATGGTGACTTCAGTCAGTCTGCGTTGTCCAATTATTGTATTTTACTCATTCTCATACTCATTTAATTAAATCCTTTTTTTAAAAAGGCATTTTAATATTAAGGCCATACGTACGATGGAGACATTATTTGGCAGAAATAAAAAAGTTAAAACATATGAAATAAAAAATATTTCTTTTAAATTTAAATTGCTTGTGTCAAATTAACATAATTATTGTCGCTACACTCTTCCATTGTACTTGTTGTTTTTCATGAAATTTTGTAAAACACCATCAAAGTTGTGGTTTGCGGACACCATATTGACAGTTTGAAGAGTTTCGTTTCGAGTTTGAGAGTAGCAGAAATTGGAATTAAATTTAAATTAACAGTCAACAGCCTAGGAAAGTATTAAACGTGATCGATCCAAGTCATTTGCCTAGTTGTTTTATCAACTGGCTGAACATCTTTCAGGCCGCCAGTTAAACGGCTAGGCTATTAATTGAACGGCTAATTAAGCTGGTTGGCTGTGACATATATATGTTGATTGGGTAGATTATTCAGTGAAATGCTTTGACAGCAAAATCTGCTAGTTTTATGCAAAAACTATCAAGACAAAATATCAATAAATTAAAAGACGCATAATTGTCTCTCTTATAGCGGTGATGGGACATATTAATAAACTTGGCCCTTTTTATTGTTAACATATATTGTTTAGAAGTTTTAATGGCATCATCTGGCCTGATTTTTATTCATTCATATTCCTCATAATATAACAAAGGCTTCAAATAGCCATAGAATGTTTTGTTATTAACTTGTGTCACATCACAAATAAATAAAAGGTCTGTCCAATTCTTAGGAAAGTGTCATACCTCTTCTACAAATTATTCACGCTTTCACGTGACACGGCTCATCGCGAACCTTGAAAGCTAATGGCCACTAACACAGTTCAAAGGAAATAATCCCTGGGAGGACAACACTGATTTTGAAAACTTTTTATTTACTGAACTGCAAAGGATAGGAATTTCATTAGAAGTCGGTATTCAATATATTCTAGTCTGTGCACCCATTTATTAAATCTACACATGCCTATGGAGCGCTTTTCAGTTATCTACTGTGTTAGCTATAGAAATTGATTTTAGGTTTGGTGCGTGACCTCTGAATTTTATCCAAAAGACTCTCCAACCCAATTACGACTTACCTATACTAGGGCGAGCTATGACTACGGGCATTGTTTCAAATGCATTAGCAACTATGGATTCAGCTAATCTCTTGGAATAGGTATAACAGTTAGGATGTGCTCCCAGTAACGACGGCGTAAGTAGGGCTAGCTGCTTGTCGTCCAACCATTCTATAAGCCGCATTATATCCGATGGCAACACTGTCGGCGGGTGTATCTGGAATAAGAAATAGAACTTTAGTCTTTCTAAACATCACAACAGAAAAAGAAGATAGGTAAACCTTGTTGGTGAACAGCATATTTTTAGAGATAAATTGTAACTCTACTGGCTAGTTGGTGGTCGATCTTCTAAATCTAATGTCATGGGGGAAGCCAAAACCTAAATAATTCATATTGGACTGACTACCTGAAGAATATTGGGTATCGAAGTGTCAATATAATTATTCAGTTGTAGAATTCGTATTTCTAATTCTAGAAAGAACTTACCTTTTCCTCGAGAACCTTGTAGTCCGGGTAGCAGAAAGCGGTCGAAAGATGAACAAAGACTTCTACATTTTTAAGTCTCTTCGCGACATTCAGGGTCCTTTGGGTACCGCATGTGTTCATATTGACGTTGTCTTTAAGTGGCGCCTCCAGTCTAAGAGTTGCGGCAAAATGGAATACCAAAGATATCTCTTCAGACAATTTCTCTATATCCATATCTGACAGACCGAAGTTCTCGAACAACACATCACCTTGGAGAACCTTAATCTTCTTGAAAGCTAATGGACGTTCATTCCTGATGCGGTCGAAGAGCTGAAAACACATGAAGTTTCGTAATCCTTCCAACGAGCCTTCCAGCTGTAACAGGTTACTACAACTACACTTGGACGCTAAGTTTATCAGCGAAGCATTTGAGAGAGGATTACCTACGCACATTTTCACCTTTTTTTAGCCTTGCAAACGTAACTGCTCAAGATTTCCAACCACCCTTGTGTTGCGGACAGAATTGCATTTATTTCGAGACAATTAAAATAATTAATAAAATTTCGTTTTATAAAGCTGGGTTTAAAGAGGGTTGTATCATGTAATGTCTCCACCTTAAAAGCTGAAGAATCAGTTTGAGGACTGTAGACATTTTTTATATTCTTCATTTTCTAAGAAAAGACTCTATTTTTAAGATGCAATATAAGGCGGCAGTTGAAGTTGAAGAGACCCTTTCACTGGTAAGTGAATCTTCAATAACGTTTCTGCTTGCCAAGCGGAATGATTACATCCCTTCACGTTGATTACTTTTACATGCTTTTCGAAATTTTACTGTAGTGTAGTAAATTGCCACAGAACCAGGAAACAGGCACCCTGACTAGATTACGATTCTTAACTCAGGTTTTATCAGGTCGGGCCAATAGGCGTTTTGTCTATGTACCTTATCTTTTGTTTTTACGGCAAGGAAATGCGGTCTTAGGGCCGAGTTGAGTCGTTTATTTAATTGGCAAGGTACCTAGCATCTCACACGTCGGAGTCAAAAGCATGTCGGCCTCCTTATATTGTATCCCTGCATAGTTTGTAGTATATACTAGATTCCAGTTACTTATATAGAATACTGCAGCAGAACTCACAGGTAATCTTTGCAGCTCCTCTATTCGTTGATTGACAGACTTTCCCCTCTTCGGACGCATGAGAATATAAATGTTGCCAATGTCTGGAACACTGTACAGGAGTTTCTCAACTAACACTTTGCCCATAAAACCCGAACCGCCCGTTAGGAGGACACCCTTGCCCCTGTAGTAATCATTTATTGACATTCCAGCTGACATGCCTGAAATTGAGAAAACTAATACTGGCACCAGCTTAATACATAATTAACTTTATTGGGGGACAACAAACTGTTAATCAAACGAGGGGTTTAGGAGTTTCTAAAACAAACGAAGCAAACTTATTACAATATTATTATGTATTTACTACGGACTTCCTTTAGCAGCAAACTTGGGCCCTTACTCGTACCTCTAATTAACGCCTATAGATATTCTTCCTATGTTTTTTTTTTGAGTATGCTTACTGCTGAAAGACGATTAATAAATACTTCAGATAACAAGGAAATGCTTACAATAATTTTACAACAAAAAACTTGGCGAACAAAAGAGAATACGTTATATGTAAAAATAAATAAATTAAAAAAGGTACCGTTATATATATTAAATTTGGTAGTAATAGCTTTTTAAAGCAGACTCGCTCAAAGATAATTGTTAAACGGTACAACGAGTACAAAATAAAAATCGAAAGGCTGGCGTGTTAAAGCCAGTTCTAACAAAGTTGTTTAACGCTTTGACGAAAAGTAACTCTATATTGAGAAAATTTTTTATATGCTATTGTGATTTTAATTTATAATTTTTCCATAACTCATCCATATTATAAAAGACGTAATAACAATTCTAAGGCCAGCAATGTGTTGATGCTTGTGCGTTATAGTGAATGCGCGCGTGTCATTTATACTAATGTTATAAAGATTTGTATTTTTATTTCTTACTTTGATTATTAAGAATTTTACTTTAGGTCAGGAAATGTAAAATATTTTAATGTTTGGTCCTCTAACCGTTATCCTCAAATATTTACAAAAATATGCCTTGAGGGAAAGACGTTAGTGTTAGATATTTGTGAAATAGAAATTGTACAGGGGGATGTTTTCTAATAATATATGGCTCTTAGACTTTTAGTATAAGTATAATATTTATTTATTTCTAGTATTAAAAAAAAACTATTCTATTAGAAAATATGTTTTTTTAATTTATTTACTTCTTGTCTCTATATGTTTTTATCTTGTCTATGTTATAATAAGTCTGTAATTATAAACATAATATTATATATGGAGGTATACCTCCAAACTAGAAAATTTAAAAAATATAATTATTACTAGACCGCGCTATTTGTTGGTGCCTTTAATGCATTTGTAAGAACTTATTTGAACACGTGGTCAACCACGTTTGACCGTCCATGACTCCGTTACGAGTCATGAGTACCACTAAAAAGATTTAAATATCGATGTTTGAATTTAGTTACGACAATTCAACTTTAGAGAACCAATATATTTGTTTTAAATTTATTGATTTTCAACATATCCCTTTACCAATCAAACAATTTTTAAATAATTGTTTCTGATTGAATTATGTCATTGAAAACAACAACAAATTTTGATATTAAACCAATTTAGAACAATGAGCAATGAGAAACAAAATAGGAAAACAGTTTTATTTGTTAAGTTAAGATTACTTTGGTTAGTTTAAACTAGATGTCATATAACGTGTAATGGATGTCTGAGAAAATTATTATGTGAGACAATTTCAAAGTGTTTTTATTTTGAAATAATATACATATATAGAGATAAAACTATTTCTAAAATCTTTATGAAACTGCGCACAACTAAGACATTTTAAAAAATTGTGTATTAATTAAACATGTGTTAGCAAATTATATTTTTTAAACAATACAAAATACACATACACAATCCAATACATAGTCAAAAGTTCGACTCCTATCGAAATAATATTTTTGCAGATTTATTGTGCAATGCCCTTTGGGACATTTAGGACTGCAGCACCGGAAGGATGCATTTGCTTTTTTAAATTAATAACTCAAAAATATTTTAGACACAACAAAATGTCTGTACTAATAAAGAATACAGAATATTTAATTATTTTTCTATATAAATAATACTATATTGTAAGTTGTTAATAAATGAACACAGTTATAGTATAGAGAGATAACAGAACTTTAGGTACCATTAATAACAATAGCTAAAAAAATATATTTTCCACTCTCCGTAAAATAATTGTCCATCTATGTCATGAGTACGGTTGCGTTATAAAAAGTATTTTTGAGGGCCATTTTAAGTGAGAGGTCGGTGTGATTGTAGTTCACTAGCCTCCGTGCTAGCTTCTGGAAAAATTTGGAACTGGACGAGTTTTTTGACCTACATCCGCGCGAGCACTGGTCAATTAACAACACTTAAAACAATACTTAATTTCTTGAATAATTAAGAAATAAATGTATAATTAATTTCTCGTTTCGTTGGAGCAAAGTCAAAGTTTTTTTTCGCATAGTTTGAGATCTTCTTAGAACCTAGGTGTTTAAAATCACACCGTTAATTACAAATGATTCTGTATAAGTTTAAGTTTCTCTATAAGATTTTGGTCCGGTCGTAGTCCAAAAGCGCACATTAGGAATTAGTGTTGAATCATTATCAATAATATATTACACATTACCAATGCAAAAATACTATGTGTTGTAACAGTACTCATAAAATATATAACTGATTTATAATGTGTTATGAATGAAAGCAGTAACACTGTTTATTTAAACTTAATTTGTAAAATAAAATGTGTAAAATTAGTTTTTTGTATGTACATTATGTTATTGAAGCTGGAACTATTCAAATTAAATAACTCATTAACTTAAATATTTATGTAGAAAAACCTTACAGCTCACTTAATACAAAATATTTGTGTGTGTAACAGAAGCTAAAATAGGCTTCATTTAGTGTTTTTTTTTAAATAGTTGCGAGTTGGATTGAATATGTGTTGAAAAGAAAACGTGTCTGTACTTATGTACACGCGTTTGAAGTTATACTTCTTTGGCGTAACAAAATAATAATCTTTTCAAAAATTTTATTCTACGTTTGTAGGAAAAACAATACCTACTAACAATAGTAAAAAGTAAAATGTTGACTATAGCTAACTTCAGGGTGTCGGTTTTGTGTGACGGTGTGCGCGCGCATTGTAAAAATTTACTCCCATCATCTTCCCCTAACGCGCCATAAGAAGTATAACTTCAAAAGTTGTCTCGTGCAGGTAGCTGATTAAATCAATGCTTAGTGTAGTTCTGAAATTACTTTAAACATAAATTAAATATCAATTAATATAAACGTAATTTTTAAAGAAAGATACACACAAATTGATTGTTTTTAGTTAGTTCACAGTGATAATTCAGTAATAAAATTTCGCAAGCTAGTTTGACATGATTGCTTGTGCGGTTATTTTAAGTCATCCATCACAATATTTAACACTTTAAAGCAAATAAAGGATTAGCTTATTAAATAAATACTATAAAGCAGCTTAAACACAGTAAGCAAGCTAATGTATTCCACAAAATAAAAGGATAAAATTTATTTAAGGAACTAATTAATTTTTTACCATCTTGTAGCAAAAAATTTGGATGAATTTTTGAAATTACAAACAATAATAAATCTGTGGCGCTAAAACCTTACCTCTTTCGAGTAGGTCTGGCCCTCAGGTATATATTTTTTGATCATTTAATTCTTCTAATAGGCAGATTATGCTGTCTATATTTAAGGTCTAAAACTAATTAATTAATTAGTAATTAATAACCTAATTAATTAGTTAGTTAATGACTTGCCGGTTTCCTCACGATGTTTTTATTTGATTCCTTTTTAGACAGTAAGCCCTTGACGCACAGGATCGAACCTACGACCTAAGGACAGCAGTTGCTCGATAAAAAAGGCCAACGAAGTCATATGTAATATATTTTTTGCTGTCTATTGTTAATGACTATTAGCAAATTATATTCTCGACAATAATAAATGTCAAATGCCTTGAACCTTTCGATGATCACGTAATGAACACATAATATTATCTTTACAATGTCTAAGTTATCATGTTTTTATATTAATAGTTGATATTTAATAATGAGCTGTTAAAGTTTTCTTCATTTAATTATTTGGGAAGTGAGTGACTAGGATATAACATTCAATGTATAGCGGAGCTTCTCAATTGATTGTTTAGTACACTTAACATGCATCTAAGTTAAAAAATAACACGCAAGCTTTAAACTTGATTTAACTTCTAAAAGTATAGTAAATAAAGGTTTATTTTAATACCTCCTTTAATTTAAGTCTACCGTATAGACGGGGTGAACATTAAATGTTTGACACTTCCGAAACACATGAAAATGTTGTATTAGATCTTTTTGTCGTCTCTTCCAATGCTTTTTCAATAGATATTCTGTTATTCTATGGAAACCAACAAATCAAATCAATGAAAACCGGTCCTACCGTTCTCGAGTTATAAGTGTTCGACATTGTTTTATATTTTAATAAATTTTCAAAGTCAAAGTGAAAATCATTTATTCATATTGGTAACACACTGTACACTTATGAACGTAAAAATATATATAAATTATATAGAAACTTAAATTGTATATGAAATGCTTCTAATTTTACATTTACTGCTAGTTCTCAAATCAAGGGCGTAGAACGGAAGAGAAGAACTGGCAATAAACTCTCCACCACTCTTTAATCGCCACGTTTTTTTGTTTTACGCAACGTTTCTAAGGAGCTGCAACCATTACACCGTGTTCCACATGACATATTAAGTAATAAATAATAATAAAATAAAGTAAAAACAAAGATTTGTTCTCTGTCAGCAGGAGGCATGGTGAAATAGGAGCACGCACTTATATTCTCGTGGGAACAACACGCAAATACATAGTCGAAATAACTAACATCACCGCATAGACGACTTCAAGTACTACCAGTCACCACACGGACCAGCGGACGTAATATGACGTATCAACCTATGACCTGTCAACGCGTCAACTAGATTGACCAATCACAATCCAACGGAGTGGACAATCGCTTCGTCTTAAATTCATACCCCTGGGCCTGTACTCTGTCACGTAACTCCCAATAACAATATAAACTCACACTGCCAGAAGGCATGCAGGCACGCTGCCGGCCTTTTAGATTTGTTACGCTCTTTTCTTGAAGGACCCTATGGCGAATTGGTCCGGAAATATTTCACTTGGC